TCAAGAGCTAAAAACACAGCGACAGGTATGCCTGGTTACATAGAATCCAGTCGCCAGATCTCATATTTACAATCAAAGCTGCCTCGCTTTAAATGACCTGCCATCAATGAAATGGGCACCTTTACATTTCAACAGCTAAACATCTCTTAACTATTAATAATAATGATATAATAATAATGCTAGAAACACAAAGTACATGTTACAGACGTGCCAGAACATTGAATTTTATGAAAACATAATTACACAGCAATTGTTTTAGGAGACAAACGTGATGTTGGGGGGGGGGGGGGGGGGGAGTTGTAAAGAAAGAGAGTAATAGGTTAAAAAGTAGGACCCTGGTCACTCATTCAAAAACACTCTTCATAAAGTCTGTCCAAACTAAAACACTGAACAGTTGCAAAAAAATCAAACCTACTTGACTGTGATATACACATATTAAAGTTACAAATTATTTCTTTGCAAAATAAAACTTTATTTATTTATTTATTTTAGTAGTTACTGCCCATCTCCCACTTCGCCGACTTTTCAAGTAATTGTCAAATATACCATTCAGAAAGTTTCATTTGAAATTTAATTTGGGATTCATTTGTCTGTTTCTTTTGGGGCCATTGATAAGACAGGTACAGTTTGTACAAGTTCTTTGCTCATAATCCTCTTTTATGCAAAACAAAATGCTAAGTAAGCTTGAGTCTTTATCACAAGAAGTTTGAAACTTAAGAAATCTGCAGGGTGGAGTTTCTGTAGGTTCTGAGCTCGAATGTGACAAGGCATGTTGCCAGCCCTGACATTGGATTTAAAAACCTACTGTAAACCACACTGACTGGAGTGTAGCCCGCATTGCAATGCACAAAACCAGGGTTCTTGGCGGGAACTGTGAGAGCGATTAAATACGGTTTAAAAACTACCCCAAACATCCCTCCTCCATCCTTCTGGGTATGACAAGATATACAGTAAATTCCAGTGTACCTGTCGGACCTTCTGTCATATCTTCAAAACCTAAATGCAATGTGCAATTTGCAGGAACCCTGACAACCAAAGGATTGGGTGCAACAAATACACTGTTTTTCAAAGTACTGTATATATTTAACTCCACATCCATTTGGTAAAATATTCCGATCCACCCTCCAACATTTATTTCTACAAAAGTTTACTCCATTAAATATTTATTAAGCGAACGCACATTTTTTCAATCCTGCAAACAAGGGACCCTCTCCTAGTTCTCTTTGACATCACCTTTCTAAGGTGGGGTTCACATGATACCAGCAGTCTGTCGAGAATTAATCCTACAAACACGTGTTTCGCAGATCAAGAGACTGGAAATTACAAGTCGAGAGGAGAGAAGCACCCAGACCCTAGACGGTTCCACTTAAAGTGCGACTTTAAGATCACATCCTCCATTGGGATAAATTCCAGGATCTGTCTATTATGTTCCAATAAAAGGGAATGAGGACAATAATAATAATCCTTGCATTTGATATAGTGCCTTATCATGTTGACGAGACACCTCAAAGCGCTTTACAGAATTTACTGTAACAGCATGGAGCGAGTGAACATTTTTTTTGAGGGGGCGGGGGGGTGGGGGAGAAGCGGGGATTGTTGGCCACGACATGGGGAGAAACTCCCTTCGCTTTTCAACAAATAGTGCCATGGAATCTTTTAACGTCCACCTGAACAAGCGGAAAGAATATCTCATCCGAAGGACAGCACTTCCGACAATGCAACATGCAACACACCCAAAGCATTGCATTGGAGTGTCAGCCGAGACCATGTGATTCCAAATCCCAACGTGGGGCTTGAACCCGCAACCTTCTGACTCAGAGGCGAGAGTGCTACCACTAAGTTAGGCTGACACTAACGTAGGATTTGTTATTTTAAAAAANGACAAAAAGTTGAAAAACCACATCAACAGCAGAACTGCGGGTAACATATTTATATTAAAAAAAAGTCAATGACTATACAAGGTTATTCATGTTCATGGCACGGATTTCCTAATGTGTCCCTAGAGGACAAATTTGTAAAAATACAGTATTACAATAGTACCTCAATCGTCAATAAAAGAAACTGGGTTTACAGGAATACACCCAGACCTGTGGTTGGAGCTCTTCAGTAGTGTGGAGGTATGGGAGGTGAGGAGTTAAGAGAGAATACACAATTATGGACAGTGGGGTTATACAGGTTCCCTCCACGAGCAAGGAAGACCTCATAAATATGATATTTACAGACCAAGGCCGCCCCTATATATTCACAAACAAACCTGTAAAGTGCTCTGTCCAGCTGGTTTGCATAATACCATCAGCAAGCTTTCGGGAGAGCTGTTATTATGATGACAATCCAGAAATATCTACAGCTTGCTGACACGGAGGATGATTTTTGTTTATAGCATGTACATTATTTAATTTTTTAAAAAAAAATTAGGCACTCGGCTTTGCACCAAAGTACCCGGTTATCCTGTAATAGTACAAAATGGGTCAAAGCTAGGATTTGTCTCGTGAGATGAGGTTTCAATGGCTGGTGAGTGCTGTAGAAACACAGTATTGTACAGCACACCATTGTGTGTTTGGATTGCAACACACAGGTGTAGCTGTACACACCGGTATCACTTGAATGAGCCCCATCCCCTCTCCCCGCCCCCACCCGCGCGCACGCGCACACACACACGCACGCACGCCATCTCTCCTACTTTCCTGAAGTTACTGACTGGAACTGGGCACTGTTCCACAGAAACCAGTCACCGTCAACCCAATGCTCAGGCTCGTATGGGAACACGCAAGTTAACCAGTCAAACAAGATGCCCGAAAGCAGTTTTGACTCTGTGCCTCCGATATAAAGACTGGAAGAGTCGAGGTTAACTTATTTTTTAAAAAAAACTTGATTTAAAAGCTACGCTCACATTGTTAATACAACCAGCAAATTAATATTCTCACTCCCGAGGATTTCTTTTGAGGTTCATAAATTAAAAGTCATTGATCATACAATTAACCTTTACAGGCAAATTGCAGGGTACTCCAGTTTGATACGTTTTATATATGTGTATATGCATGTATGACACCTTAGTCACACAATGTCTATGATATCTTATATTCATGGGAACATTGTTTTATACATTATTACAAAGCAGAAGGCTGAAGGTGCTGGGGGCAGGGGAAAAAGATTAGCGGCATTATTTTATGGAATAAAATATACAAACACTATTTTTTTTTAAAAAAACGAGCTGTACAAAATGTTTTTGTTAGGATAATACAACCTAATAACTTATACAAGCACTGCCAGTTAATGTGAGTTTACAAGAGAGATCACCCAATCTTCTCTGAGAGACTAAAATGTTTTACGTTAAGAAAAAAAAACAAAGAAGGTTGCATCACTTGAAGATGCAAAAAAAAAAGGTTCCAACACTTGAACGTCTTTCAAAGAGCACCTCACGTCTGAATAGCTCTCAAGAGACTCGGGCCATTTTTCAGGAGCAAGGGTTTAGCCTAAGAACAATCTTGGTTTTAATTTATACTGAAAACCATCAGAAGAAACGAATCTGGTGCCTTGAATAAGCAGTCGCACCAGCCACATGGGTTGAACCAATTGGTATCTGGTCTCTGTTTAAAAAGACCCCATCTCCCCCTGCCCCCCCCACCATCCCGGAACACAGCACTTTATTAAAACGCAGATTCGTTATGTCTCTAGATAACAAACTATTTAAAAAAAATACATTTCTATGTTTAAGCACAATTGCTCGTTCCCCCACCCTATCTGGCTTGAACTAATTTCCCCGCTCTCCCAAACTCTGTGCTCCCTCGTTCAAAGGTTCCTGTCCTCATCTCATTACCTAAGCAGCTAGTCTCGTCTGCTTCTCCTCAACGTTTCTTGACTTAATTTCTCCCCTCCTGTACGTTCTGACTCCACTCTCTGGGCGGGGTCCCTCGGGTATCCTACGGCACCAGCACCCTGCTCAAGTGGCAATTATTCACGTGAGCCTTGGGGAGACGTTTCACTGTGAAGGGGAAGAAACAAACCAGCCCAGTGTCCCCGCTCCTTACTGCCACCTAGTAATCTAACTGCAAAGTGCAAGGCAGGCAGGCGGTGGAAACTGCTGCTGCTGTTTTCTTCCTCCCGCTCCTCCCACCACCATCTTTTTGGCAAATGGTCTACAAACCTTTGGATCTTCCTACGTTTGGGGACTGCTATCGGCGGGGGTGGGGGGGGGAAGAGAGGGGGGGAAGCTGACACTCACGCAAGGGAAAAGCTTGAGAGGTGGTTGGGGTGGTGGGGGGGGAGGAACCCTTTTGTTGATGGTATAATTCAGGTGAACTAAAAGCTGTTACCTACAATTCTGCCAAACCCCCTCCCTCCCTCCCTCCCTACCCAGTATTTCTGCTAAGTGGGCCACAGCATTGACAGTCCCAGTAATTCCAGAAGGGATTTTTTCACAGCGCAGATGGTTTCGCTGACACGTGAGAAACCTTGCAAATGGACAAGCTGTGTCTCTTGGAGAGGAGTGAGCTTTAGCAGTTAAAAGCAAAGCAGACAACGGGACAGATGAGATCAAGGGCATAACAGCCAGAGATGTTACAGCCTGAAAACAGGGGAGAGCGTTATTGTTGTGCCAATTATGATCCAAGTGAAATAATCCTGAGCACTGGAAGCACCTTCAGTTACGTATGCATCCAGCCCTCGACTAAAACAAACCCGATGCTAGAATGGATCAGCTGGGTCACCAAACTCCTTGCATGGTGGGCGGAGGGACTGAAGGCAGAGAACAACAACGGTGGTTTTCTTTATATACGAAACAGGCTGAAGTAGGTAGCATCCGGATGTCATCTTGATTATACGTTCTTGTCGGCCAGCAGCTTGTTTGTCTCTCAAAGGTGACCAGTGCCGCCAAGCTAATAAGAGCGTTTCAATGCAAGATCGCTTACTCATATGCTGTTGTGACTTGTTTTCCAGGTGCTTGAAAGGACGATGAGCAAATATTTGGGATGGGAGACGAAAGATGGGGGGGGGCTTGGGGGTGCGGGGGATAGAGGGGCTGTTTTGATTTAACTGCTCAATACTAAATAGCAGGCCAGCTGAGGAGATTCAAAACAGTACGTTCTAGATGGCTTTTGTTGTTGTTGGGGCGGGAAGGAAATATTCTCACGTAACACAGAGATGACAATTCCAACCACATCACTCCTTTGCATCAAAGCCTTCGACAACCACACAGAACTGGCGCCTTTGGATGGACTCCCAGAGGAAAGTAGATTAAAAATAGTGGAGGATACCACAGTGCTTCGGGAGGTCAGAGGTTTGTCTGTGGTTTGCCCGGCAACAACTGGGACGAAGGCTAAAATCCCCGCTTGACCGTGCCGTTGGTTTCGGCTGCATTTGTGCTCAGAGAAGGCTGGCCAGGCTTGTGGTGGGTCCGTTCTGAGCTTGAAACTGCACAGGAAGAGGGCCGTCTGTCCACTGGAACCCAAAAGTCATTGAACAGTGAACTGTTAACCGCACACATTCCACCAACATGTTACCAAACTATTCACCCGTCTACTGCCAAAGAGTCCCAACCATTTATATGCAATACAAGTGGATATCAAACAACGGTCAGGAAAGAAATCTCCCCTTTGGGACTGAATGGATGGCTCTTTCAGAGAGCAGTCATGGACATGATGGGCCAAATGGACTCAATCTAGTCTCTAAAATTCCATGACTGTTATTCCTCGCCTTGATCTCTGTGAGTATCAGCTTCTGTACTAGATTTAATCTCTGGTCAGCAATGATTTCATGTAAGAAATAGGACCAAACAAGATAGACTTTTACTCTACTGGGTTCCAAATCCAGTGATAAAGCTCATTTAACATATTAAATCTATTCTCTTCTAACCATATATTTCCTCTACATAAAACTCTTAATATCAAAGGTTTTAAAACTCCTTTCCCAACCTTTTTGGTTATTGAGCCAACTTATTACAATCAGTATTTCCCCCTCAAGCAGGTACAACTTAGTGCCCTCAAAATCTTATACTTCTTCAGACCAAAGGCTGGCACTTACATTGATCAGGTTGTGCTCAGGTAGACTGCAGGCTTCGATGTGGTCATTGAGGAGTTGTTGTGAGAAATTCTGGTGCATCTGGGCTGCTTCGTGGGCCTCGATTGTGTTCCCACACGCTTTGTTGAGATCTATGAGAAGTGGAAACGGTGTCAATCTATACATAGGGATGATATTTCACCACGATAGGCAAATTGGTAAATTTTATATAACTGGCCTCAGTGACTCTGGGGTACGGAGCAGAAAATATAAGCTCCTCACCACTCTTGTTACCCCTGCTATGGTTTCCCCAATCACCTATCTAGCCTCTCGTGTGAAGAATGACCATTTGAGCAAGGTAAAAACGACTGATCAGGAGAGGAGGCGCAGGGAAAAAACCCACCCATTTAACAGGTGCACCACCGATCTCTTCTGCCCCAACTGCAGCCAGTACTTACCTCGTAGCAAAGCTGAAGACCACAGTTGGACTGACATGTCAGGGATCTTGCTGGCAAGCTGCATGGCCGGTACCACCATGTTATTACTTTCCTGTGCGACAGAAGACAAAAAAAAAGTTTCCAAAACCTTCATCGCTTATTAGTGTGGGTTTCGCTTCTGCACAGGAGATTTAACATTGTTAACTCCAACTCTCACCCGCTCTACCTTTCCACCCTCTCTGTGTTCGGTACAGTTTGTGTCATGGGTTTCATGTCCATTGTGAACCTGGTTAATTTCACTTAAAAATCATGACTTGAGCTCACACTTACACTAGACTAACACTCTGCTTCAGTACTGAGAGTGCGCCGAATGGTCAAAGGTACTCTGTCAGGCGAGACGCTGAACCGAAATCTTAACTAGGTTTTCAGGTGAATGTAAAAGGCGACACTATTCGAAAAGAGAAGGGAATTTCTCCAGGCTTTTTTCTATGCAGGAGAGATGCAAACTTACTCTGTGGTTTCCTAAAGCATAAAATATGTGACCCAGTAACACCAAAGAACATGCTGTTAACCGATTCAAATCTTCTGCATTAGACATTTTCAGAGTCTCCCGTAGAAATCGCCTGGAAATAAAAGACACATGGAATCAGTACATCAGGATGTGCACTGTACGTAGAAATAATTTCCATTATTTTCACATATACATCAGTCCGCTTAACATTTGTCCTGTACGCATATGGGAGGTCAAAGTTTTGATGAGTTAGCTGATCTTAGCCAGTGTTGGGCGTCACTATTGGCCTCGGAGTCCTGGGGAAGTGAAGTGAAAAATCATCCATGGTTCCCACTCCTGAAGGTTACCCACTAACATCTCCCTGCTGGATGTTGTGTGGGGACGTTAGGTGAGGGCAGTTTCAAGCAGTTAGGGACTCCCCTTCTCTCCCACCCCAGGTAACAATAATAATAATCCTTGCATTTAATATAGCACTTTATCACATCTTCAAGACGTCTCAAAGCACTTCACAGAATATACTGCAAAGTGAACTGACTATATATTTTGTGGGCAAAACGCGGCAGCCAATTGCGCACAGCAGTGTCCCACAAACAGTCATGGATTGATTGACCAAATTATTATTTTTTTTTGGAAGGGATTATTACCTCCCTGGAAAAGAGATCCTCCAATCAACTAACAAATGGATTCCTACTTACTGCTAGGTAAACTGAGGCGTGTGGAGTAAGGAAACTTTCCTAACATTAAAGCAGTCGAGTAAACTGCCAACACTTGCTGTAAGGGCCTCACACACAGATAATCACCACTTGGGCAAGGTATAAGAGGGCGCCTAGTGCAAATGGAATCATAACCCTGTAGGAGTGGGGGAATAAATCAGCTTAAAAACATCTTCAAGAGCAATGTGGAGAATATTTGTAATAGAGAGAAAAAAAAGCATATTATGGAAGTGCTAAACAGCCTCTCCATTCAAAAGCTAACACAAGTGAAGCAAAATAGCTGGACTGTTTCTGTGGAGAAAGAAAACTAATACTCACTTTGCCTCATTGTATCTTCCCTGAAAGAAGGAGAGGAGACCCCGGATATAGAACGCAGCTGCTCGGAGACAGTGAGAACTGGAACAGAAGCAGAACAGTACGGTGCTTCAGTTGCTAACACAACCCCAGTGTATTAAGGCAGGGCAGGAAACGAGGATTCTCAAATCATTTGCCACCTTCTTCTCAAAGCCATTTACAATCAAACACGCCAGATGTTAACACAATCTTTGTCTAAGAAACCATCCCACCTTCCAAGGGAGCTCTGTAACGTGATGAATGGATTTACACCACCACAACCACGGTGGTTGTGGAGCTCTGCTAGACCACAAGAGGTCTGCTGGCAATGTGCTACCACAGGTGCCAATGAGCTCTCCCTTACTTACAGCCACTACATTTGCTCAAAGCCCAAATACAACAACAACTTGTACTTACATAGCGCCCTCCACCCAGGGTAGGGTGGCTCAGAGCAAATACGTATCGAACGGATTCAGAGGCACCTGAAACAGTGTGCAGGATCTAAACTGACAACTGAGAGCTCTTTCACTGAACATCTTTAAAATTCCACTTCAACTGTGTGCACCTTCATTTGCCAACAACAACAACTTGCATTTATATAGAGTCCCTTGTGCAGGATAGCGTCCCAGAGCGTTTGATACTGAGCCAGCAACAATACAGAGAGGCTCAGTGAAACCACCTGGAGCAGTTTTCTCCACAGTGAAGTGACTGTTTAAAAGCAGTCGGATTTTAATTGACAGAAAAAGATTGAAAAACCAAAAACACGTCAAAGTTAATCGTTGATCATTAAAGTTCGCAAAGGGGTGCATGCAGCGAGATTTTCTCGAACAACTGCAAGCCGGTATCCTTTGTACACTGTGTAAGAATACATTGCTATAGGTAGATTGAGATCTTCCCCTACCTGACTGGGAAGTTGTGATCTGGGTTTATTCTTTCCAGTAGACTGTAGAGCTGTAGACAAAATAGAAAAAATATTTATCTTTCTGATGACAAATCAAAAGGCAGATTGTATTTTTGAGGGAATAAGCACTGAATGTCTGCACAACACCTCCCTGAGGAGCATATGAAATCAGAGAGCAAGGGAGTGTGCGTGCACAATTTCTCCTCCTATGACTTTGTGGTACAGCTCACTGGGCTTTCGGTTAGTGCAGTAACTCTAACATTGGACGAGAGCGAGAGAGAGAGACAGACAGACCAACAACAACTTCTATTTATATGGTGCCCTTCACGTGGGGTAGCGTCCCAGAGACAGACAGAGACAGCAAGTGGTAGCAAGGCTCAAGCCTGGCTGAAAGGGTTTACCTCCTGATGTCGATTGCCTTCCCTGATGTACACACTCGCCAGGTTTGTAACTATGAAGGCCCACAGCTCTTGGTGAGTCGTCAGCTACAACAAGGACACACAAAGCAGCTCCGTTATTCACTCTCAGTCACCATTTGGTCACTCAATCCACCACTGTTTGTGAGACACTGCTGTGCGCAATTGGCTGCCTTGTTTTGCCCACAAAATATATAGTCAACTCACTTTACAGTATATTCTGTGAAGCGTTTTGAGATGTCTCAATGACGTGATAAGGTGCTATGTCAAATGCAAGGATTATTATTTACTATAATATCATCGCCCATTAATATCGAACATCAATATCAGAACTTTATACATGCAAAACAGGAACATAACTGTTCAGGTATAATTAAATTTCTTTCTCTGAAGCAAAGTAATGTCAATTGCATTAACTACCCAGAAAAACAAGTGTTCTCCCAGATAGCTTAAACATACTGCAATCTTTCATATCATACGATCAGGCTGCAGCCCTGTAATTAGCTCTTAATAAACAACCCCACCTCGAAACAGTCACGCAGGTTAAGACATGATACGGGTTGACACTTTAAAAATGTAAATGATGAAAATTAGAAAATTTGGATGCAGGTAAGTGAATCTATCTCCGGCTTTCAGACCCAGATTGCGGCAAAATCTTAGACCTTCCCTGTCTCACCCAAAAGTCTCTGTGACCAGCTGAATTGGGAATTGCGCCCCAGTCTGGCTTACCCGAAGAGCAGTTGTGAACTGTGCTTCTGCGTTGTCCATACAGTTTACGGAAATACAATATAATCCCTGAAAGCAGACAGAAAATTAGCCAACAACACGCACTGTCAGATGACTCTTTGCTGACTCAAACACATTTAATCTCCTAAGAATAGTCACCGCACTTTACCGCAAAAATCCATCCCGTGAAGCAATTTGAGTCGTTTTGACGACAGGTTAAGCTGCTATATTAAATGCAATAGGGCGGGAAAAAAAGCGCTTCTGAAATTTAGTCCAAAGCAATTTTCATCAACGGCTGAGATGAGTCAACGACAGCTCGCATGTATTATTATTATTATTATTATTATTATATAGCACTCCTCACGCAGGATGGTGTCCCAGAGGGCTTTAAAAGCCAGCCCGGCGCAGGACAGGGAATGAATCTTTACTTCTCTTTTAAACATTTCAATTGATTCGGTCTCTTGTCTTCTGGGCGAGTGCATTTCAGTTAACAATTAAACTTTTGACAGGAGGGCAACGGGCTCTACTTTACAATCAATTGCACCACCTATCGGTGAGTGAATGCAACTGCTTCTAGCTGACGATTCTCCCCTCTGTGCAAACAAAAATACTTCCTGGTGCATCATCATAAACCTGGCCTTCGCAATGCAACCCTTGTCCTAATCCCTCAGGATATCTGACAGCATATTTCTGGCCTTATGATAAAGCATCCAGCAGACAATTAGAAAGGATCCCCTCTCCCCCGGATGTTCCTATGATGTTACCAGACTCACTAAAGAAGATTGCGGTGGATCTGTAGCAACTCTTAGGTTTCTGGTACAAAGAAGATAGTGATTGAACAGATAGGCAAATCAGCCCAAATATGTCATAACAACTTTCAACACTCGAATACTCACCAGTAACGTATGAAGCTGGGCAGCGTGGTTTGAAAATAACCTGGGAGACTGCTGGCACAGTTGGCAGGCCTGAGAAATCTGATAAGGCAAAGAAAATACGCACAAGTGAGTAGGAGAAACCACACTACTGGCTGATTGTGAACTTCTTCTTAAAGAGAGTCAGACAAGAATCCATTAAGGAGTAATTCTGAAGGTAGGGAATAACAGTTGGAGAGAACAGAGGAGCAACCAAGCAGGAGGAAAAGAGCACACACTCACAACACTCAAAGACATGAGTACAAAATACTCTCATCAGTTTGCCCAGTAAGGAGAAAGGAAGGATTTAGAAAGTGGACAAACAACAACTTGCACTGATATAGCACCCTTCACGAGGGTAGGGGGTCCCAGAGCCCATGTATGTAGATTCAACTGTATTTCTCTCCCTCCCACAGATATAGACTGCCAAATCTCCTATATGCATGATAAACAGCCACTTGGGGGAAATATGCTGCTCTTGGCTAAGATCAAGTAAGGTACAGAATGGGAATCAAACCTGCAAGCTCCCTGCATGTAAAACTTCCTCAATACAGAAAATGGTTGCCACGCTATTTTTTGTGCTAACAATGTAATAATAAAATTGATAGTATAAGGCTGACCGTCTCTCCCGCCCCCGACCCCTGGTACAAACCTCTTGCAGAGCTGTAGCTTTGTGGCCTGTCACTAGCCGGCACATGATGATGTGCTCCAACAACATGACTTGAAAGGAGGAGAGGATTGGGCTGCAGTCGAGCACTGTACAGAGAGCAGAAACAGTCATGGTTATCAATACGACAACAACAACTTACATTTGTATAGCGCCTTTAAGGCTGATACTTGCTCAGATATTCCAACACTCATCGGTTTGACAACAAACAACAACAACTTGCATGCACAAAAAATGATCATAAAACACCCATAGAATGGAGCATACACCAGGTTGTAATACAACAACATTTATAGTCCCTTCACGCAAGGTAACATCCCAGAGCACTTAAAGTAGCAGTCACACACCATAAAGCCAAGAAGCAGACCTACGCAAGTTACATACATAACATAGGAGCAATCAGGCCTTCCCACCTCCTTACATGCAGACTCTATGAAACTTACACAACTGATTGCAAGAGTAACAAATGAATCTTGAAATTAAGTCACTTACTTTTCAGTTTTTCTAATTGCATGAGTGCTTTATCTGTGTACTTCTGGGCCTTCTCAAGATACCCGGCCTGCATAGAGTGCATTACTGTCACCTGCAATTGAAACCATCAACTTGTACATCAGTATAATAATAATAATAATCCATGCATTTGATACATTGCCTATCTCGCTGTTGAAACGTTTCAAAGCGCTTCACAGAATATACTGTAAAGAGAATTGACTGTATATTTTGTGGGCGAAATGAGAACAGGTTAATTTCTGGTAAGCTGTCAATGTACATGACTTTAAGAAAGATGGAGTATAGCCGGAGTATACACACCACAAGTAAATCACTTGCGAGGGACTTGAAAGGAATAGGTAACACTGCGCTCACTCACCAGATACACCAGCACACACATGTGCTCTTTGGGCAGCCAGTGAAAGAGGTCGGCAGGGTTGGTGGGTAGGATCTCATCGTCGTGTAGAGTGGAGATGGTTTGGATGCACTGCTGCAACTGTTTCAAGCAGGGCTTCACGCTTTTTACCTTGAACAAGAATCACCCAAACGGTTAGCTGCCCGCAGTTTTCCTTCTCTTTTAAATGGCTCCGGTGAAAAGAACATTAGGCGTTTTTCTTTTCCATTTACCTGTCCAGCATCTAGGTAGTGTGTGACTTGTAGCACCAGGAAGAAGACCCGTAGAGACTCCTTCTGGATGGGGTTCCCCTGCCAGTTTTCTACTATCTGTCCGCACAGGGTTAAGAGAGGGTGAACTTCCTGCAACTTCCGTTCCATTAGCAGTAACTGGGCAGCAAAGAGGAGATGCAACATGCAGGTTAAAATCAGACACAGCTCTAAAACACTAACATTTAAAAGGGATGTGGATAAATACTTGAAATGCAGGGGTCAGAATTGCCAGTTTTCCTAAATGCTTTCTGTCCTGCGGAGATTGTGCATTTTACGCTTCTTTGCCAGCAAATCACCTCTTACTCAACAGCAAAAAAAGAAAATTGACTGTGAGAATCCCTAGGGAGCAGCCTAACGGGGAGGGAAATTCAGACCAAGATCTGTTATTAAAGAGAGACTTAAAAAGGGCATTTTAAATTACAATTTCTGTACTCTGTTTAATGGAATGCATTTAGGAATATTGTAGTGCTGACCCTGTCATTTTAAAGGATGGGGAAAGGGCAGGGGAAAGGGAATGGAATTCAGTGAGTAAGTTGCAACAACCCCAGTTATGATGGTCTGAGTGACTGTACACACAATGTATGAACAATCCCAAGAGCCCAAACTGTATAATGTTTTAGAAGGTAAACAGTTTGGCCAGGTTACAAGAACAACAACTTGCATTTAAATAGCGCCCCTCACGCAGGGTAGCATCCCACACCGCAGGTTAACTGAGGAAAGGGAGAGAACAGTTTGTGGAGGAAGAGAATGTAGGAATAATGTGGATGAATGTTTGAAAAGGATGATACTCAAGTAAAAAGAGGGGGGGAGGGGGGGGGAAATATGTGTGTGTGTGTATATATGTATATAAAAATAAAAAACTTACCATCCCTTTACTTAAGAGGAAGAGTGCTCTGCAAAGACAAAAGAAAACAACTTTATGTGGAAAGTTATGTGGAAAGTTGAAAAGCAGATTGTTTAAGCCTTCCTAAGAAAGTTACACTCAGAACTGAAACAAACAGATACCAAAGGCATCATTGGGAAACAACCCAATCAGGGAGGTGGACTTTAGGCTCCAAGTATTTAACATTACCTGGTATACTCTGATCCCACAACTCGTGCGTACTCAGCTCCAACACCAAGGAGGTCACACGCTGAAACCAAATCCTTTTCTAAAGTATGTAGTTGCTGATGAGAGAAAAATAATGATTTTCTTAAAATTTGTATTACATCCACACAAAACAATTGACATGAAAACAAGAGGTATGGCAAAAAGGCAGGAGAGTGGGAATACACGGAGAGCTCTTTCACACAGACACGATGGGCTGAGTGACCTTCAGGATTCATAACACTAATGAAGTTCCCTCTCAGTCATTGAAAATTGCTCGTTTCCCCTTCCTCCCTCTATCTTGTCATGGTAGCTAACAGGAGGATGGCATTTGGGGAACAGCGAGGTAATTGCAGTGCATTTTAAAGGAGCGGAAAGGCATTCGAGACCAGGTAAACCATGGGGCTTGGTGGGTGGAAGGCAGTGATAGGGAGAGCGGAGGCCAGAGAGAGCTGAGGATTTCATTGCTTCTTATGCTCTGTGTAACTTGGTGAAATGTCTTAAGAGCGATGGGATTTTTTTTTTAAGATCTGATTCAGGCCAGGCTTCGGTTTTATGTGTGTTGACAACAACCCTCCGATACCTCTTCAATATGGCCACTCATCACAATGGCAGGACAGTGGGTGTAAAATTAACGAAGCCAGTAGACGTGGGAACTAACTGGACATTGCATTTCACTCTATCGCTGAGAAACTCCTATTTAAGAAATAAAGAGGGGATACATACTGCAAGCTGAAAGAGCAATCGACAGTGCCAGTACGGTGTTTGTTGTGAAATCTGTATTGCTTTCCGTAAAAGAGGCTTTGCTGAATCGACCAGGTTCTGAAAGACACAAAGCACTGTTATGACCAGCCAAAATGCGGATTCACGAAATACTGTATAAAACTGCAGATGGACCATCAACTGGACATCCTACTAAGTAGTGAACTGAATAGGTAAAACTAGGATACAGTGCTGCAGCTTCAGTCAAACAGCGTTTACTAGTATTATACTATAGTTAAAAGATTTTCCCGACACTGCACTGCATTTAAATCCAGTCCATGCATGTCTTTCTTGTTAAATACGTTTCACCTTTAAGAAGAATTAACTGTATTAGTGAAATACAGTTACAAATTCACAACAGTCAGGCAACAAACTAGACTTATCACCTTTTTACATTCGAATTCTTCTGCACTGATGATGACAAATTGCAATTTTCAACTTGTGCAAAGAAATTTTATTTACAATCCCTGCCCTAAAAAGCATGCTATCATCCAATTTCCAGTGAGAGGAAAGAGCTTAAAGGAACCCTTTTTTTTGTGGCTGATTTCATGTCAGTGAGTGCTTTGACGGTTGAAAACGATTTGCAGGTCTATAATGCATTCAATGTCATGCTTTTCTGCTAAGTGAACAGAAAGCAAAAGCTGACTTCTAAACACACCCACTGGACCCTGAACTGTCAGTTCAACCATTTTAACTTGAATTGCCCGCTGCGTTGTGCCCAGATTGTGTAAGTGCCAATTCTGTCACAGCAGGCACTGTGCTACATAAAGTCCCATCAATCCTCTAATACACCCAATTACAGTAAAGTAAGGTATGTAGCGTAGAAGTGGACAGCGCAATAGTACCACAGTTAAAACAATTCTTCCCTCTCCCCCACCCCCAGGAAAAGTGTGCCTCACATGAGCGAAACAATAGACAGATCAGATAAACTGGACACAAGAAAGGTGTAGATAATTGACAAAAGAATCATTTTCTGAAAGGTTGAACATATGTATGCCAAGACTGGCAATATAATCACGCATGCAGTTCCTCTCACTCAAACCAAAGCCTACATGGCAATCTCAAACCCCCCACCCCGCTTACCTGTTGACAATATAACTCTGAGAGAAGACTGGCTGCTTCAAATTTGACATCTTCAAACTGTGGAATCTATTGCACAAGGTTAAGGAGAATTCTTGGAAAGTCTTCGGTAAGCCCTTCATCCTGTCAGTCCGGCTCAGTAGCACACTCACCTCTGGGCCATAATCCATTCTAACACTCTAGCACAGAACTGACAGGGCTGGTGGGGGGATGGGGTGCGCAGGATATGGACTTTTGCATGCGACTTTAAACTGATATCCCTCTTTCATCCCTGGAATTACAGTACTAGGTCATTGCACTCAATAATAGGAGCATGATTATAAAATCTTTCAGCTCTACATGGCCTCTGCAGTTTAATATTATGGATTTAAAGCCCAGAGACAAAACAGATTGAAATTTGAAATTAGGCAGAAAATATTGGAAACGTTCAATTGCATCAACCACCTCAGAGGTAATTTTCAGGTAGCAATTTCGAAAATAATAATAATATAATAACAATAATCCTTGCATTTGATATAGTGCTTTTCATGACTTCTAGATGTCTCAAAGTGCTTTACAGAATATGCTGTAAAGTGAATTAACCGTATATTTGTGGGCGAAATGCGGCAGCCAATTGCGCACAGCAGTGTCCCACAAACAGTTGTGGATCAAAAATGACCAATTTATTATTGTTTTGGAGGGATTATTATTAGGCGCATGGAGTAAGGAAACTTGCCCAAGGTTTCACCCTTAATTAACAAAGCGTTCTACCTCAAAATTAAGCTGCTGAGTTTTTTCAGGGCTTTGTTTTGTTATGTATTGAAAGTCGGTTTCCAGGTACTTAACAGAAAAAAAGGATACTTGTTGGGATATCATCCACTGAAAGAGAAAGGGAAAATAATTAGTCATGTTGGTTATACTTTGAGAGTCAAGTCATTGGTGATTCAGGATTTCTGTTCAATTCATCACCTAACATACAACAGAACTGAACACCACAATTCACCCTCTCTAAAATATTCTCATCTCCAGTATGCTTCTAACAGGCTAATGCTTCAAGTTTATCCATTCAGCAATGATGTTTCATGGTTATTTAATTCTCCCAAAGAGTACACTGCGAGAGAGTAAATGTACATCAGCTACTTTCCAAAGACCAATTCACAATGATGTTACAGGCTTGCTCCTTCAACACTAGGCCTCTATCTTAATTATAAAAAAAAGCAATTAATTTCAGATTAATCAGCATTTAACATCTACTAACGCACGCGTTTTGCTTTGCAATTTCTTAGTCTTACTCCTAACAATATACTCTAGCGCCACATCAAACTTCAATTAAATGATGAGTAGAATAAGTGTTGATTTTTATTTGCAGTGGATGATTTCATATTTATCAGTTTTTAAGAAACTGCATGATGCACAAACATGTACAATTCAATGGATTCAACAACCACCAATTACAACTTGCACCAACTGAAAATTCAGTGTCATACCATCTCCACCCCATCTATAATAATAAACTGTTTGATAATAATATAATTATTATCAAACAGTTTAACAGTATGCAACATGACAAAATGATAAATAAACCTCTGACTAAATGGGATACACAACAAAACCAATAAACAGAAAGTAAAATAGCATTAGTTAGTGATTTGACATTCAAGTTCACAATGACAGACTTTTGAAAGTGAAACTGAATCATTTCAGAAGAAAGTCTCCAACAAGAACTTGATGCAAAAAACGCATACCTCAAACCAATGCCTCAACAGACAAATACCAATGTGATGAGGAAGGTGCTACAAATAGCTTTGACGGCCCAACCTGCAAGTAGAGGTAACACCAGCCTGGGTTCCCACTTCTAATAACTATCTATTGAGTCATGCTCAAAGTGCATAGGTGTAAACTGAGGGCAGCAACAGTTATGCCGCCACTCTCCCCAAACAGTTAAACAGCCCGCCAACACTCGCTGTCAAGCTCACAGAGGAAGAAGGCACTTAGTACAAAGTCTGTCGGCACCCATTGAACTTTACTTTAGAGTGAGTCACTGTTTTCAAAAGAGGAGAAAATGAAGGAGGAAGGCAAAAACCCCCTATAAATTCCACAACAGATAATCTTTAAATGATAGTAATTGCAATTCAAAACACACAACAAATCGTACAACACTCGACAATATACCCTGCAGTTGAAGTCCACACTAGGATACATAAAATCCCAATAACCAATGCTACGAAAAAGGATGCACCTTCAGACCTTAAGAGTTTAACATCCCAGTCACTTCAACTGTTCAGATTCAGACAGTGGCTGATAGAAAAACACTTTCAAAATACAGAACCATAATTGTTGCAACATCAACTTCTAATACAACATTCCACTAATTAGGCATTATTTTAAAATAAGTCACCTCAACTGGACAAGATTTCTTAGTCAAGTTAAGATATTTCTGGGCAAACCTTGATTTCCCATTGCAATAATATTAAGCACCAGTTGATGCTTAAAAGATGAAAGAAAACAAGTTGCCGATGAACAAATCTTAAAGATTGAAGACATTATATATCCTTGTATCGTATTTCCTATGCCTCACCTTAGACCCACTACATTATCACTTGTTTACTTCCTGGTTATTGCTTGCACACTAACTATTTCACCAGTCAAACGTCCTACCATCTTTCTGTGTTTACTTTTCCAACCATTTCCTTCATCTATATTTCTGATTGCACAAGCCAGCAAATTTAATCTTCCAGGGGCCTACAAGACAATCATGACGAAGTCCTTTCTGACTGAGATATTCCAGTTAACAATTAACTACCTTACTCTTACCTTCACCAATTTGGGAGAGAGGAGGAAATAGAACTTTTAGATCCAAGCAAAACCCCTCACTGTCTTCTTCTGGTATAAACACTAGAATAAACCACCTTGATATGACAAAGTTTTAACAAAATTGCTAGCATTTTATTTTTTNAACTCCTGTGCAAAATTGCCAGGTTGCCCTCAGTATACAACTGTTCCCAGTAATATGCTCCTGGGGTTCTCCTCCATTGTTTTGATCCCATTACAGTGTGTGTGCGTATATATTTGTGTGGGGGTAGGTTTTGCACATTTGTGTGTATGTGTTTAGGGATTGTATGTGTGTGGGGAGAAGTTGTGTGTGTATGTGTGTGGGGAGAGGTTGTGTGTGTATGTGTGTGGGGAGAGGTTATGTGTGTGGGGAGAGGTTGTGTGTGTATGTGTGGGGGGAGGTTATGTGTGTGGGGGGAGGTTGTGTGTGTATGTGTGTGGGGGGAGGTTATGTGTGTGGGGAGAGGTTGTGTGTGTATGTGTGGGGGGAGGTTATGTGTGTATGTGTGTGGGGGGGAGGTTGTGTGTGTGTGTATGTGTGTGGGAAGGTTTTGTGTGTATGTGTATGGGGGGAGGTTATGTGTGGGGGGGGGAGGTTGTGTGTGTGTGTGTGTGGGGGGAGGTTATGTGTGTATGTGTGTGGGGGGGGGAGGTTGTGTGTGTGTGTGTGTGTGTGTATGTGGGGGGGGGGAGGTTGTGTGTGGGGGGAGGTTATGTGTGTATGTGTGGGTGGGGGGGAGGTTGTGTGTGTGTGTGTGTGTATGTGTGTGGGGAGAGGTTGTGTGTGTATGTGTGGGGGGAGGTTATGTGTGTATGTGTGTGGGGGGGAGGTTGTGTGTGTGTGTATGTGGGGGGGAGGTTGTGTGTGTGTGGGGGGGGAGGTTGTGTGTGTGTGGGGGTGTGTGTGTGTGTGTGTGGGTGGGGGAGGTTGTGTGTGTGTGTGTATGTGTGTGTGTGTGTGTGGGGGGAGGTTGTGTGTGTGTGGGGGGGGGGGTGATGTTTACACCCAGCTTTCCTCCATCCTGTCACCCTGAGGCCTAAGCCTCGCTCATCCCTGCCAGCGGCTTCCTCAGGCCCCAAGACTGGGCCTGGGCCTGGGCCTGCCCTCAGCGCCTGCCGTGCCTCACCGCCTTCTCCAGATGGGAGCGGGCCTGCTCGGTGTTCTTGGTGTGGTGATAGAGGACGCTGCCGAGCTGCAGGTGGGTCCGGGCCTCGATACGCTGCGCCGGTTTGAACTGGAAGACGGCCTGCAGGCAGTGCACGCACAGCTTGATCTTAGGCGGGCTGGAGGTGCGGAAGCTCTCGGCAAAGCCCAGCAGCGCCAGGTACCAGGCGTCCGTGTACTGTTGCTGTTGTTGCTGCTGCTGTTGCTGCTGCTGAGGGACGCTAGCGCCAACCGCCGCCATCTTCCCCACCTCGGCGCCAAACATCGCGAGAACTCGGCGAGACGTGGGGGGGCGGGGGGGGCGGGGCGGTCAGGCGAGAGCGAGGCACTGACGTCACTGGGGCAGCGGGCTCGTGACGTCGCCGAGGGGGAGGGAGGGAGGGGGGTCCGCCGCGTGACGTCACCCAGGGCAGACCCGCGTGACGTCACCGAGGGCAGACCGCGTGACGTCACCGAGGGCAACGATTGGCTGACGTCACTGGGCTCCCCCTCATCCCCTTCCACCTGCACGTGGGCAACTGTTAATAAAAGAATAATAATCCCTGCATTTGATTATTGCGCCTTCGAGACGTCTCAAAAGCGTTTCACGGGATATACCGTCAAGCGAATTGACTGCTATAGGCTGTGGGAGAGACGCGGGAGTCGATCTGCACACAGCGGTGTCCCGCGAGGCCGACGCGATGTTTCATCCCTGAGGTTTATCGACTTTCCTCCTTCAAGGCCGGTCTCAAAACCTTTCTCTTTGACCGTACCTTCAGCTCCCCTCTCGACTCTCTTCCCCCTCCTCGCTCCCTCCCTTCCCTCCCCTCACCCTGACCATTTCCCCCTTCCTCGCTCCCTCCCTTCCCTCCCCTCACCCTGACCATTTCCCCCTCCTCGCTCCCTCCTTTCCCTCCCCTCACCCTGACCATTTCCCCCTTCCTCGCTCCCTCCCTTCCCTCCCCTCACCCTGACCATTTCCCCCCTCCTCGCTCCCTCCTTTCCCTCCCCTCACCCTGACCATTTCCCCCCCAATGCTCGGGTCATGACCCAACTGTGCAGCGCCTTGGGACGTCCTCCTGACGTGAAAGGCGCTTTATAAATGGAATCTTGTTGTTGTTGTTGTTGATTTATTCTTAAGTGTCAGCCTGGCTCGGTCAGTTGTATATTTAGAGTTAGATTTGGAGGGAGGATTGCAAGAACATTAATCACAGTAAATCCTTGCACTTGATGTGGTGCCTTATCACGTTGGTGCTGCGCGCAATCGGCTGCCGCAAAAATTGTTTCATCCACAAAACACACAGTCCGTTCACTTGACAGTACATCCGGAGACGTGATCAGAGGCGTTACCTCAAACGCAAAGATCATTACTATCAGTATTATTATTATTATTATTATTATTATTGTCATGGAGAACGTAGAGAGCACATGGGAACGAAATGCAGGACCGACAATACATAACTGCAGCAGAAGAAGAGGCTACAACTCTGAACTCAAAACGAACGCTGCCTTTGAGCAGCAAAACCGAGCAGTGGGTGTCAGGAGGTCCGGGTCAGCTGATCACTGGAGCGGGTGATTGACAGGCGAGGAGGGGGGAGGGGCCGGATGTATTGAAGCGGCGCCTGGCGACCGGCAGCCAATGGGAGCGCGGGGAGGAGGCGGGACTTCCGGTCGCGGGGCGGCAAGATGGCGACCTTCAAGGTGAAGCAGGATATGCCGCCTCCTGGGGGTTATGCCTCGTTTGACTACAAGAGGAACATCCCCAAGCGGGGCCTGTCAGGTGGGATGGAGCAGCGGGCGTCGGTTCGGCAGATCGATAAGTTCCATCGGTGGAGAAAGCAGCGGCTCTCTGTGCTCACAGAGAGGCCCGACTGACCCTCTGTCACCCCACCTGTCCTGGGGGGTGGGTGGGTGGGGGGTTGGGTGGTGGGGGCTGTGTTTGTTGTGCAGAGGGAAGGGCTTTGGGTTGCCAAGATCCCAGGAAGAAAATGAGCCCAATTACACAACCACATTGGGAGGGAGGAAACGCGCATTCAGCGTAAGTGGTTGGAAACGGAATGGACCGTTGACCGGAAAACAGATGTAAATTATATATTTTTTTTTTGGGGGGGGGGGGGGGTGTGGGTGGGTTGTATGGGTTTGTTCAATTGGTCCTATTGCGGTGAATTATTGCCGTTGCTTTGTGCGACTGTGGCCTGGATTGCTTTCTGTACGTTTATGCTCCACAGGGTATAGCATGTTTGGTATTGGAGTCGGTGTAATGGTGTTCGGCTACTGGAGGCTTTTCACGTGGAATCGGGAGAGAAGGTAAGTTTTTTTTCCCCCCCCCCTCTCCTCCTTGACAGACAGTGTCAGGCTGACTTTATGCTTGTAAAATTTTTGTTTGGCAAGAATACAATCGTAGGATGTCACAGTGCAGAAACGAGCTGTGCAGCCTCGTTTGTGTCTGTGCTGGCGTTTCTCTCCACATGATCCATCTCGTCCAATCCCACTCTCCTGCTCACTCCCCATTACTGTTTACTATTGTCTTTAACGAGAAAAACAAAATAGTACTGATTTTTCCTTACAAAAGAAATTACAGCCTTGTTTTTGTTACAAGAAGATTGGCTCAGGACACAACATTTACTTCCATGAATAAAAGCTCTTACACTTTGTGATATTAGACATCAGAAGTTCTGATGTCTTGCTACTGAATGACCCTTTCACCCACTAAAGGGATTGTAAACTTAAGAGTTTCCTTAGTTATGGATTTGCGGTTACATTTTCTGTTTGTTCTTCCTCAGACGCCTGCTAATTGAGGAATTGGAATCCCGGATAGGGCTCTTGCCCTTACTGCAAGCTGAACAGGACAGAAGGCAAGTTTGACTGAGGCCACCTTTAAAAATCTATCCAGGAATTGTTTGGGGCTGCGTACCGAGTACTTAAAGAAGGCACTCACTCACCAGAGCCAGGATTCTGACCTAACAGTGACCAATGACAACAATCTACTGCAGCAGGCGAGCAAATACCGAATTTCCGCCTTATGCTCATGTTCGGTTCTGTGTGGAAACTTCCATTTATTCCTGGTCTTATCACATCAAAATGCCTTAGATGTTCACTTTGAAGTGTAGTGACTGTTATGTTAGGAAACACAGCAGCAAATACCCACACACATTGGTGGGACTAGTGAACATTTAGTTTGCTTTGGGATAAATTTGGATGAATGAAGAATATTGGCTCGGACACTGGGAGAAAATCCCTGCTCTCAAACATCCACTGAAAGAATTGAGATTGAAGTTTCATCTTAAGGACTGCACCTCTGACAATGCAGATCTGCCTCATTACTGCACTGGGGGGGGAGTGGTCAGCCTGGGTTAGGAGTTGGAGTCCTGGTGCGGCATTCCTTTTCAGGGTGGTTTGATTTGTTGCCTTGAGTTGGCAGCTTTGTGCTAGAGCACAGGTATCTCTGCCATGTCTGAGTGCTGCACATCAAACCCCCATTCTAGCAGGACTCACATCGCCTCCTCTCCAATCTTCCTTTACCACGTGCCATGCTGTGGTTGAGGAGATGAGCTCATCCGAACCAGTGCTGAGGAACCCCAGGTGAATTATCTGGGTTCTCCGGCAGGTGATTGAGAGGTGCTGCTTCCTGGGATGGGGGGGGGGGGTGCCACACGGCCTTTACAATAATAAAGAATACATTACCATTTGGTATTTCTATGGGGGGAGGGGGGAAGCTTAGGGAGAGAGACCTAGAATGTTTACAATAATAAAGTTTACAAATAGTTGGCTAATTGAATTTAAGTCATTCTTGTGTAATTTCTTTGATGTTTTCCTCTCGCTGACTCCAGGTTGCTGCGTTTAATGAGGGAGAACCTTGAGGAAGAAGCCAAGATTATGAAAGATGTTCCAGGCTGGAAGGTAACAAGGGCTTGTTTCCACGCTAGCTATCGGACAACAGCAACTCACAAGCTTGATTTCCCAGCCTGTGCTGAGTTAGTCAGTTCAGACAGGGCAGTAATGAGGCTACAATTAGCCTCAGCACCCAGGATTAAAGAGGGGAAATCAAGCAGGGTTCACACTCTTGATCACTATCCAGAGGACCCCCTTCCCACTGGAAGGTGTGTGGATGTCTGATCAGGCTCAGCCCCCAAAGTGTACAGGTGCCAGAAAAGATTGTGCGTCTGAGAACGACACCTGTTTTATTGAGCCACCTGATGGAAGTAACCAACCTCGAGAAAGGTTACTGACACTGAAGGTATAAGTAACACTGTTTTACTCCACCGCTTCACAGGTCGGAGAGGGCGTCTATCATACCAAACGCTGGGTCGAGCCCCTCACTGATGAACTCTTTAACCTTAGACCCAAAGAAAACCTGGTTCACGAGAAGTATGGTTTCAGGTGGTACACATGAGCGCGGACATCAGATCCCAGACCTGGCATTCGCACATCAGACATCCTGCCTGCACTGTGTTTACACAACTCTGTATTTCAATGTGAATAAATATTTATCTGGGAAGCTGTTTGTGTGGGTTTTTTGGGGTTGGTATGTTTGAATCCTGACCTACGCTGAGTGATCTTGTCTCGGGTAAGATGGTGGCAGAGGGCTATACTAGGAGGAGGATAGAATTCAGCCAGGGATCATACTACTACTGGTGGATATTGAGCGATATCTCCAGCCTCTGCCAAAAGGATGGTGGGTGAGGACAGGATTGGGTTCAGCTCTGATGCCCTCTTGTGTCTGGTACTGTCTGTGCAATAAATAAAATGAGGCACAAGTGTAATACTGTGTTGAGACAGAAATATCAATGGAGTTCTACAAGCAATGACTGACATTAGATTATTCATATGAATCTCTCGGATCAAGTGGCTTAACACCTTTAATGTAAATCATGTAAACCTCCAGCAACAAGTAGGCAATCAAAACTTCATGTTCATCTATTTGTGGCTCTTGACAATTTTATTGTTTTCCTCTGGAGGGCAGAATGTGTCTGAAGGACCATTAACGTTTTGTTCACAAAATGCAAAACCTGGGTTGTTTTTTGGTAGGGGTGTATTTTTCGTGTCAAAACAAAACAAAAAGTCCGAGATGGGGAACTTGTAACAAAGAAACAGGTAAATTTGGTGCAAATGGGGATTTATTTTGGAACATCAAATAAAAGCCCTCCAGATAACAAGCCAGTTTTATTAATGAATTAGCTGCACTCTCGGGACTGACCCCAATGTGGATAAGCAAATGTGTGTGCATTGGCTGTCATGTTTCCACAAAATGCACAGTCAATCCATTTACAGTATATTCTGTGAAGCGCTTTGAGACGTCTCAATGACATAAGGCGCTATATCAAAATGCAAGGATTATTATGATGCACTGAAAGTTGTCCTGGCTGAGACACCTACTCTCTTACCCTTGCTGAGTGGATATTGGGTGAGGGCAGGACTGGCTCAGCTGTGTTTTTCCCCCTCTCCTCACCTTGGTTTCAGTATTCTGCTGACACTCACTGTCAGGACTCGTGAGTGAATAACTGAACAAATGCACCCAGTAGGAGTCAACACCTCTCTTCCCCCTCTGGCCAGCACGTTAACCTGTGTGTGAGACCTTGGAATAAATTAAGCAAATAAAATTACTAAAGATGTGTACATGTTATATATTTCTCCCACAAAATAGAGTCAAGCCACTTTACAATATATTCTGTGAAGTGTTTTGAGATGTCTCAACAATGCAACAAGGCACTATATCAAATGCAAGGATTATTATGGTTATTATAAAATGAAATTATAACATTTAGATCTTCTAATTACCGATGCAAAAGATATGGCATGTGGGTGATAACAACAACAACTTGGATTTATATAGTGCCCTCCACGCCGGACGGCGTCTCAGAGCGCTTTACAGTTTAGGATCCTGGGACCGAGCCAGGGGGAGGGGGGGGGGGGAGAGTGGGGGGAGGAAAGTGACCAAAGGCGCGGTCGAAAAGAAAGGTCTTCAGCAGAGACCTGAAAATGGGAAGGGAGGGAACAAGACGAAGGGAGTGAGGAAGGCAGTTCCAGAGCCTCGGGGCATAGTGGCTGAAGGTACGGCGCGGAAGGTGGAGCGGAGGACTCGGGGGATGAGGAGGAGGCCAGACCCGGAGGAATGGAGGCAACAGGCAATGTTTTGAGGAGAGAGGAGGTCAGAGAGGTTGGGGGGTGCAGAGGAGTGCAGGGACTTGAATACGAGGGTGAGGATCTTGAAGTCGATCCTCTCTGGGACAGGCAGCCAGTGCAGTCTGGCCAGGACTGGGGGGATCGGGGAGCGGAGTTTGGTGCGGGTAAGAATGCGGGCGGCAGAGTCTGAATGAGTTGGATTTTATGATAGATACCTAACAGAGCGCAGAAGCCAGATTTGTGCTGTGTTTTGCTCCCCTGTCTGTAAACTGCGAGGAACATTTCCTTTAGAGCCAACCACATCACACAGAAGATGCTCTTCACCAGCAAAAAAAAAACACCCTCATCCAATCCTACTGTATGCTTTGCTTTGCATTGAAACCAATCACATGCAACCTCAAGGAGGCCAGAGACTCTGAATGGGTGGCCTGGCAGCCAATATCAAGAGGCTCCTGGCACAAATGAGGATGCAGTGCAGTACAAGAGGTGTAGTCAGTGCTGACAGTTAACAGCAACACACACACACACACACACAATCACAACTCACACACACACACAGCAAAAGCCACTTCAACACCAGGGCAAATGGCCAGTGTGAACCACACATCAGAGCAGGAGGCAGAGCTGAGTGAACCCATCAAATTCCTCAGGTGAGTCTGCAGCTAATGCAACGAATGGATGATGATCATAATAATAATAATGATGATCATAAATGAATGGGGACCACAAGTGTTTTGCTTGGTTGCATTCGAGGCATCTGTGGCAGCTGTGGCTGAGGAGCGAATACTGCATTAACGTTCACCTGAAATTCAGCTGAAAATTCACCCATCCTCTTGGAAATGAACGGTTTGTGTCTGAATCCTGCGTCTGTCTGTCTGGTCTGTCTGTCTGATTGATGTTAGCTGTTGCCTTACCTCCTGGAGACAGGTGGTTTTACAGATCAGTTGGTACCCACTGCACTGGCTTTCGCACAGAGAGAGACCTGTGTATGTTTTGAACACACAGCTCGGCAGCTCTATGCTATTTTCAAGTGTATCACACGTACCTTACACTTGTGCATTCATCTGGTACATTTAGCTATGCTGTATTTGTTTGGCAGAAAATGGTGCTGATGAAGGAAGAAGGAAAGGAGAATAGAGATACTTGTGATTTTTTTGGGTGGGGGTGGGGGTGTATTGTGTGCACTCTACTATACAACTGCACTAGAACCCACAAGCCCAACAACAATAATAATAATTATAATATTAATAATAATATAACAAGCCTTGAGCCTGACTCTACCTGGGTCTAGACAAGACTTGGGCTTAGCATTTCTTAGCATTTCCAGAGTGTGAAAATTTTGGATCATAATTTTGGTTAAGTGCAGTCTCAGATTTGAAGGTGTTTTTTTTTTGGCAGGTTCTTGTAAGATCTCCCAAAGGCAGGCTCACCTACGGAACCAAAGTCATGTAGCCACCATGCTTGATGATTGTGTGCTGTTGGTATGTTACATGACCGTGCACACGCTTGGGAAGGGGAGGAGGGGGAGGTGTTCCAGTTCAAGTGGACAACAACAACAATTTACATTTGTGTAGCGCCTTTCACATTGGGAGGACGTCCTAAGGTGCTGATATGCGAACGGGGGGGGTGGTGGGGCGGCGAAATTGACTTGCATCCTCCCTGATGTGGTGTTTCAGAGTAATGGAGAGCTCGGTATAGCTTTCTCGGCCACTGCACTTATCTTGCTGGCGGCCGAACTCACTTAGCAGAACTAGCGTGTTTGATTCAGAAGATTATTAGATCAAGTCCCATGTCCTGTCCAGGCTGATGTTGTGGCATGTTTCTGGGAAAGCACTGTGTGGATGAGATAGAAAACCAAAGTCCCATCTGCAGGTTTAGGTGGACATTACAGATCCCTTGACACTGCTAGACTCCCTCCATCCCCCCCCGCTCCCATGGAGGAAGGAGGTGGGGAGTGAGGAGATGCCATGAAGGCAACAAATTTCCTCGCCTCCCCCCTTGGAGAAATAGATATGGTCAGTGAGCAGCTGTTACTTGCCCTCAAGTGGCCAAGAAATGAGTAGAGAAAACACAGCAGAAATTTAGCTTCCAGCTCAAAAGCCAGTCAGTCAGTCAGAAGCTTTTGTTGCCTGATCTGTTGTTATTTATACACATTAAGTCAGATTTCGTATTCATCCTGTGTACCAGAGAGAGAAACAGACAAATGAGAAAGAGGTACTCACACGCATGGTTAGTTAGAGAGAGAGATGCAAACATAGGCATAAGTGGGGGAGAGAGAAAAAGACAAAAATCTAACAAAACAGATAGATGGATATACACACATAAAGGACATAGTGCATACAGAGAGTGAGACAGACATGTAGCATGAGACACACTCACAAATAGCTTGCACTTATAAACTGTAGTGTCTTTCATATAAGAGAATGTCTCAAAGCACTTAACAGAGACCAAGTGAGAGCTGGAGTGGGATCAGGGAGAGGGATGAGGCTGAATGCGCAGTTAAAGTGTTTTATTTGGGATGGATTTAGAAAGCAGAGAAAGACACAACAAGACAGAGGAATTTAGGGAGATCTCAAAGGGCGGGAGGGTATGGGCTGCAAGCTTGTCCACTGATAGTGAGAGATTGCAGAGTTATGTATGATCTGGAGCTTGTAGAGGGCAGAGCTGGGAGGCTGACGAGGAGAGTATTCGACTTGTCTGGAGGTGATGAAGGTGTGGATGAGGGCTTGGGCTGGGTTGGGGGTGAGGTAATGGAGGAAGCGGGTGATGTGGCAGTGAAAGAGGAAAGCAGACTTGGCCATGGACCAAGTGAAAGGCGTAAGGAGTTAAAGAGATTTTTTTGAGTGTGGGGTGGATTTTCAAAGCAGGAAAGACACAACAAGGCAAAGGAATTTAGGGAGGTCGCCAAAGAAAATAGAGATTTAATCACTGGATCTGTGAGCTGGGGTGAGCAGCTAAGGAGGTTGAGGGAGGGAGAGAGAGAGAGAGAGAGACATATGGAGAGTGAGAGAGACATATGGAGAGAGACTGAGGGAGCCATAAATACAGAGAAAAATGCAGAAAGATGATTCTGGGCATTAACCACGCTAATAAATAGATTTTTTTTGTCTTTGAATGACTGGTGGATGCACAGAAACATTTAGAATTAACAAGCTGTGAGGGATGTGGAGTATTTGTGTGTGTGTGTGCGTGTGTGTGTGTGGTGGGGGATGGTTCACCAATCTATCTGCGTCTGTCAAAATGCATCACGAGTTCCGTGCAAGAAACTGATGATGTTTGACATCTCTCTGCTGAAGGCTGGGTTGATGCATGAGTGGTACAAATGGCTGGAATCAGCTCGTTTGGCTTTCTGCACTGTGCGTAAACCTTAACGTATGTGATGGGATTGGAGGCGATGCCTGTCATCTGGATTTCTTTGGCTTTGGTGAAGAGACTGGTCATGGTCTGATTCGAGCCGGGACCAGGGCTGAGCTTCATTGTAGCTGAGCACAGACAGGCCTATCTACATCTGACCACAGTGAGGACATCCCATGCTCATTCTCAGTGCAGACTGAAGCCATACAGGACAGTTTGTGGCAACACTTCGCTATTTTGTTATCACAATATATACCAGCCTGAGAGAGGAAGGGGAAACGACGTTACAATAATAATTAATAATAATAATAATAATGAGGTTGCACTTGATACAGTGTCTGTTAACATCAAAACAACTCAAAACGCTTCACTGGTAATTGGTGCCTGGTGGATTTGAAAGGCGTTTTGCACAGAGCAAGCTCCCACAAGAGGCCACCAACTGAATGATGCATTTATCTGTCAAATATCTGTCTCATGGGATCTTTCCTCTGTGCAGAACGACAGATGGGACCGTGGTTTAGGTTTAATGGCTCATCTAAAGAACTGCATGTCTGACAAGTGCAGCCCATCCCCATCACTGCCCTGGAGTCAGCCTAGACCTAGTCTGCAGCCCGACATGAGGCGAATAAGATTAATAATAATAATAATAATCCTTGCATTTGATATAGCGCTTTTCACGTCGGGAGGACGTCCCAAAGCGCTTCACAGAACACACTGTAAAGTGAATTGACTGTATATTTGTGGGCGAACGCGGCAGCCAATTGCGCACAGCAATGTCCCACAAACAGTCATAAATTGAAAATGACCAATTTAATTATTGTTTTTGTTTTTTGGAGGGATTATTATTAGGCTCTGAGTGGAGTAAGAAAACTTGCCCAAGGTTTCGCCCTCTGCCTGGAATTGAACTCAGGTCTCTCACTTGCAAAGCGAGTGCTCTAACCACTGAGCTACAGGACTCCACTGAGTCAACTGAGTCAAACTGACACAACGATGGGGGGGGGGGGGGGGGAACTGGGGGTGGAGGAGGGAGGGGAATAAATAATACCCCCACAATATTTTGTTTCATGTGCTATTTGAACATAAATTGCCTTTAAACTCCAATCTCTGCAGGATTTACTGGATTTGAATGGAGAAATGGGGGCAAATAATAATATTCCATGCATTTGAAATAGCACGTAGGTGAGATCCCTCGACGACATGGAGCCTTATCATGTCAGTCAGATGCCTCAAAGCTTCACAGAGTATATTGTAAAGTGGATTGACTGTGTATGTGTGGGCGAAAGGCTACAGCCAATTGCACACAGCAGTGTCCCAAAAACAGTGGTGGATTGTGGATTAAGCGACCAATTTTATTTACCACACCCCTCACCCCCTCTGCCCTCCCCACAATGAAGCAGCTGCTGATACAGTTTACCAGCTTGTGGCTGGAACACAGACTCATTCAAAACAAAACATCAGCTTGATGCTGTTATGGCAATAGTGTCGGGCTGCTATTCTGAAAGGTTGAGATTAAATGGACCAAACGGCTATCTTCGTCTGCACTTCTCTTATGAACTTGTGAAGCAGCCTGCTGGGTGCTGCATCCAGGAATTATTTTTGAATGGTGTTTACTAGGAAAGGTGCCCCCAAGTTCAAAGCTCTTTTTTTTTTCTCTTGTGAATCGAGACGACGGTTCACGACACAGGGTGGATTCACAGAGCTTCTAAAGGCACTTTATTTTACCTTTCCCATTAAATAGTCATGAGAAGTGAAGTTCAAAGCTCGGTTGGTCATGTTCACTATCACACTGAGAACATTGGGTCCTAGAAAATCAGGCGATAAAGGCTATTTAGATCAGAGACTGTTGTCTTGATGCATCATTCAACTGTAGTAAATAATGTTATCGCTAAAGCCTTCAGATATGCTTTGTCTGTCTCATTACACTGTCTCTCGCTAAACTGCTGGAGTCCTGTAGCATATTGGTTAGAGCACTCGCCTCACAAGCGGCAGGACCTGGGTTTGATTCCCGGTCACGGCAAAATCTTAGGCAAGTTTCCTTACTCCACACACATGCCTCTGCTTACCTAGCAGTATGTAGGAACCCGGTTGTTAGTCGAATGGGGGTGGTAATCCCTTTAAAAAAAATTTGGTCGATTGTTTGTGGGACACTGCTGTGCACAATTGGCTGTCATATTTCGTCCACATATATAGTCAATTCACTTTACAGTACATTCTGTGAAGCTCTTTGAGACGTCTCAGCGATGCGATAAGGCGCTATATCAAATGCAAGGATTATTATTATTGCTGCTGTCTTTCC